TTTCGAGTGGCAAAACAATATTTTACGAACGAGTACAGTGAGTGAGTAAAATATTATTTTTGCCACGAGAAAATAAAATTCATATCTTCAACCCGCCTTGTAACGTTCTTTTTATTATATAGACAAAAAGACATCGACAAAATAAAAGAGGGAAATTACCGAAATTACGTCATCGATAAACTGACGTGTGAGATTATGGAAAATAAACCACTCGGGCCCCGGATGTAGTTTTTATGAATTTTACGAGTGGCATATTTTCCAGTAAAACACTCGTGTCTATATAATAATAATCATTATTGCTGTTATATACCTCTTTTATTTATACAGTTGTATACGTTTTGGTTAGGTTAAAAACCTGCTTTTTAATTAAGAAAACTTTTAGAAATAATATAAAAAGCCACGCATGAGTAAAATTAAGAGAGCATTTTTTATTAGGGCGAGCATGTTAGTGAAAAAACGTGGAGCATTTGTAACATCTTAGTAGGGAAAATGGAACACTTAACGGATTTTAGTGGGGAAAATGGCGCATTTTAATGCGTTAAAAAAGTAGTGGGTTCTGACAAATATAACATCGGCCCAGGGGAGGTTTGTGCAACTTCAACAACAGGCAACTGACCATTTTGTTTGCAGTCCCGAATATACAGCTATTTCGAGAAAGGTTGTCGGAAAGTGTGCACGCGACAATCCTGAAAGGCATTGTAGGTGGTTTTGAGTTCACTGTTCTTCAGAGAAATTTGAAAGAATTGGCACGAAAGGCCATGAAAATGTGTTTGCGAGTGCCAACGGAAAGGAACAAAGTTGCATCGATCATATCCCATATTACCTTTCGGGATTGTCGCATGCACATTTTTTCCGACAACCTTTCTCGAAATAGCTGTAAACGCCGAAGAGCTCTAGTTATGCACCAGCCTGAGCAGCCTGCTCCTCAGGCGCTTGGATTCGTTTTTTGCATGGTAGAAGCGAGCGCGAAACGCCAGTGACTGGTGATGATGGGACGGGTACAGACGGGAGGCGAATACACGGGCAAACCGGTCGGTCCACAAACGGTACGCAAAATTTTCGTCCCGGAATCGCGTTTACCATCTCTGTACAAATCAGTTCCATTTTCCAAAAAACGACCGCGAAGGCCTGAACCCGGTTTCAAAGATGGCTTTGAAGAAATGGAACACGAATTTCAGATCTGGTTCAGTAGAATATATGAATATTCCGTCCGGAAAAACAGGACTACGTTTTCAGACGTTTTCTTGTTCCCGGAAATTTTCCGATAGAACGCCCAAAAAGTCGTATACCATTTACTTTCCAAACGGATTTTCCGGAAATTTTGGTAAATGGTAGACAACCGGAGTTTCATACAGGCGAAGCCTGTTGTCTCATTTCCCTCCTTCCTTTGCGCGCACATTGACGTATAAGGTGTTTGATCGCGTGACTTTTTCATACAAGGCTCTGCTTGCTGTTATCATGTCTCCCATACCAGTAATAGACATTTCTCCACTCTGGACACTCTGTGATACTGGTAAGCTCTTTATTTTTCGCATCGCTGGTCAGTCACTTCGTTTTCAATCCAGAATTGACGGTGAAATGGTACCTTGCGACTGGTTGCGTGACGGTCAACGCTTTAAAATTTTAAAAACCCAAAACCTTGCTGCATTTCTCTTGGAGCATAAAAACAAACTGTGTCCTAAATGAAGAAACAAAATGGGTCTTTTGATAAATAGTTATTACCGTGCGAGCAGAGGCCCTTCGAACTTCTTAGACAAGTCGGGAAGATCTAAAATCTAACTAAGAAAATCGAATGGCCTCTGCTCGCACGTAGGGTATGGTAAGGGGCTATTACACACCGTGCAAGGTGAAAAGGGTAATGTGAATTGTTTTTCAAGGTAACTCACAAACCAGGACAGATTCATACAGACAGTAGTCTGCTACACAGGCTCGATTCTCAGCAGCCATTTGTGGAGAGGAGAGTTGTGTGACACTAGAAATGCTCATGTAGGAGACCATACAAAGATGTGGTTTACGAAATTGAAGCTCAAATTGCTAGCAGGGGCACACCTGACTGTAAGCCAGTTAAGCACGGGCTTAAAATCTTTTTGGGCCTTTTTTTTTTTTTGGAATGGCCAAATTGAAAAAAAAAGTCACAATCCTTTTTTGTGTGTTTTCATGTTACAAATGTTTGCCAAGAGCATTGTTGATGGCATGCAGCTCCTCAAGATAGAGCCCTACTGAGCTCCTACACTATAGTTTTATCAAAGTATAGACAGATGTCACAAGACTGTGTACAGGCAGACAGGGGGAGCTGAGTCTCCCCCAGTCTGGCTGTAGTAACTGTCTTTGTGTCAATGTCTACTATGTGAGTAGAGAGGCTCTCTGGGCTTACGCTTCTACATGCATACAGGGACATGAGCATCGACACAGACAAGATGGTCCAGGCGTTTTGTGCCAGGAAACCCCACAGTTTGGCATTTGAATTCTGAACACCTGTATGCAAACTTTCCTTTGGCCTCACATTTTAGAATGCCAGTCTGCTTTGTCTTTGCATTATTCATATTGAATAGAAGTAGGAAAATACAACATTTATGGTAACTGATTGTAACTTAAAGGTCCAACTAAATTACTTTACGGGCCGTAAAACCCAGATCGTTTATCAGTGTAATTTCAGCAACATTCTGGCAGCGGGTTTAAAGTTGGAAAATGCCCAGGAATGCCCCTAGCTATTGACAGTGGTTATTGGAGTGTGACTGGAATCCCAGCTTCTCCTTCAACTGCTACTGTAAAAGTTACAAGTAAACTAATTAAGTGTCTGACTCACCTTCCATGTATGGGAAATGTGTAAATGTGGATGGGGTGATAATGTTATTACACTACTGTGTTGCCACTTTCCATCCTTGGGTACTAAAATGTAAGAGAAAACTGGGAGCAAGTCAAACATGAAGCATATTGTCATTAAAGAAGTCTGATTGGTTGGCTCTATATGCTGCTTAATTTGCTTCAAGCATTCCCGGGGAGGGCGGGTACCCCAGGGGCCCCACTCACATATTTTAATGACGGGGGGGTCCGACAGAGGTTCATATTTTATACCCAAAAAAATCCCAACTTCGGAATTTGTCTACCCAAAAAAATCCCTACTTTTTTTAGCATACCCAAAAAAATCCCTCAGTGTTTTTGCATCAACAAATTTTATTATTTATCTTCTGGAAAGCTAAAACATGCCAACTTCAACTTTGGTTTTGGTCAAAAACAACACTATAACTTGCGCTTATGTTATTTTTGATTTGAGCTGATGAAAAATACAATACCCAAAAAAATCCCTCTGTTGTTTTCGCGACCCAAAAAAATCCCGGCGTCTTTCATAGACCCAAAAAAATCCCTTTCGGCCAAAATGTCAGACCCAAAAAAATCCTTTGGACCCCCCCGTCATTAAAATATGTGAGTGGGGACCCTGGGGCGGGTACTCCCTATAATTACCTACATGCGGAGGCTTCACCCAAAAGGGGTACCTTCTTCAGGCTCCAGGTATACAAGAGGGTAGGGACTTTGCTACTTGAAGTATATGAAATGGTAGGGAAATCTGTCATTTCTGTCTGTAAAAAGACCTAAAGGGGCTAACAGAGCAGTTTATGGCTGTGAAAATGTAGAGAAAACGATTTGTGTTTTTATTTATAATTCATATTTAAAAGACAGTGTATTTACAGCAGTTAAAAGGGATACAACGTTCTTAACTGGGTATGTGAAAGGGGAACCATTAATTTTATTAGTAGATGGTATGTGAAAGGGGTCCCTTTTCTGTCAAAAATGGTATATAAAAGGGTAAGGGGTTGGATCTAGGGTGGAGCCTCCTTGTATAAAACTATGTTGAGTATCCCCCATCAGGCAAGCATTTCAGAGTTAATTCTTGTATTCTTGATTGTACCAGATGGCAGTAATACGGAGGTTGACCAAGGACTCAAAGATAAAGTGATTCAACAGATTCACCAGGCCTGTAGAGATGTTGGCTTCTTTTACCTCACTGGCCATGGGATTGAACAGTCAACCTTGGATAAAATTTTCACCGTTATGAAGAGCTTTTTTGCTCTGCCACTGGCAACCAAAAATACCATAAATATTCACAACTGTGAGTTTTATAGAGGCTATATTGAAACAAGTAAGTTCCACTCTATGCACCAGCCATTTGACATAGTTGGACTGATAATGGCTGAGCAATTTATGCTTAGGTGATGTTTCAAATCTTTTGAAATTATTGGTGAAGTAGAACCACATTTTATAGACAATGCACTGTGGGTGATAGTGCCTGTACTTTTAATGGGGCACTTTTCAGACTTGCCACTCCCCCAAAAGGCAAAAAATATGAGATTCTGAACCGTAAGAGCTGGGAAAAGTTAAATGAGAAATGGGTATAAAGTAGTGAGATGTCCGAAATTTCCAAGGGAAAGGACTTCCAGCAGGGATAATAGTGGGTATTGGAAGTCACATATCACTTTAAAGCTGGCTAGCAGTGAAAATCAAGATCAATTTTCTGATTTAGGTTTTGTACTTTCCATGCACTTTTGTTGGTGGCCAGCTTGAAGCGAGAGACAGTAAGTTTGGGCATTTGGTGGCGGCAGCAGGTCGCTGTAAGGTGAAAGAATGTAATGAAATGCAACTGCTAAAGTGTTTTCTTTGGACTGAGCTGCATGGCTATCTATTGATATCTAACTTGGAAACGAACCTTACAGCTCCAAACATTTTTTTGAGTTTGACTTATTTTTTGAGAAAGTGTGAGAAATCGGTTGCCAACTTGAGAGGACATGAGATAGATTTTGAAATTGTGAGACAAAGTCATGAGACTTGGCAGGTCTGATTTTTAAAAAAATTGAAAATTGTTATTAATATCAGCACAATAAAAAACACTGGAAAAAGTTTAAGGCACTTCTGCCTCACCTTTTGTTTTAGTATTATTCTTAACAAATAATTTGTTAATTATTATAGCTTGACAATGCCCACTTTTTTCACTATATCTTCAGAAAGAATTGATTATCAGGGAGAAAGTGTTTTTGAGAAAGTTACCAGTATAGTAAATTTTTCAGTAATTTCTCAATGCACTACGAGTTTAATGTAATATTTAATTTATTTTCATGTTCAAGGATCAGAAAGAACTCTGAACGTTGTTGATATCAGGGAAGGATTCTATTTTTACCCAGACATGGAAAACAACCAGCTTCCAGATGAGAGGGAGCTGCCTGGTTTTGCTGATGTTCTTGTAGCATACTCAAAGCAACTGAATCAGTTAGGGTAAAGGTTGAACAACTTACACTACATGTACATAAATTGTGTTCGCGCTTTCTCAATTCAGCGGGCCCGACAATCTCGGAGCCCAGAACAGGCTAATGAATAATTAGAATAATTTTAATATATGTATGCAGATAATCAATCTTAAATCTCATTCTGAATCAACAGATTACTGATGATGAAAGCTTTAGCAATTGGGCTTCAACTCCCAGAAAACTTCTTTGATGAAAAGTTTTCTAAACCCACATTTAAAACACTGGCCCTCATGCATTACCCTCCCCACCCTGCTGAGACAGACTCCTGGGGGGTAGGACCACATACAGATTATGGCATGTGTACCTTCCTATTGCAAGGTGATGTTGGTGGTTTGGAAGTAGAAGTAACAGATGGAAAATGGATTGAAGCAAAGCCCATACCAGGTACATAGAAGACACTTTTTATTTGTCTAGGTTAATTTTGCCAAGGGGTCTTGTTCAATTTCTCCTGAGTTTTGGACAAAATTGCAATAAAAATAGTCACAAAAAGGGAGAGCTGCAAATGTTATACCATATATTAATATACGAAAACAATATGCCAAGTTTATGGCCTGCGAATGAGGTGGAGAGAAGCAGAGACTAGGAAATTATAAGTCTGGCAGCATTTGCTTGCCTTCTTCGGCTCTTGTTTCAGCAGGTGAAACAAGAGCTGAAAAAGGCCTCTGCTCTTGCAGGCTAGAGTTGATAAATTCAATGTCATAGTCAATGTAGATAAAATAAGAGTTTCAACTAACTTTCAGGTACATTTGTGGTGAACCTGGGTGACTGCCTGCAGGCCTGGACCAAAGGACTCTACCGCGCAACACGGCATCGCGTAAGACGGTCTATCAACACAGACAGATACTCAGTTCCATTCTTCTTTAACCCTAAGGGAGATTGCTTAATAGAGCCCATTGAGACTGACGCAACAAAAAATCTGACTATCATTACAGCGGTCAAGGGTTTGGACATGCCATTCCGGTTTGCTGATCTCAAAATTTCACTGTTGCAAAAGAGCCATGATTGGAGTAAAGATTCTCCAAGACCTGAGACAAAGTAGTAGAACATGGAAAACCCAACAATTGTCTTATAAAGAATGCATGTACTGAGTTATATGATTTTCCTTGAGGGTTACATACATCTATCAATCTTGTATCCAGAGGCTGCAGGCATTTTGGTCAGCATGAAGATGCCTATCTAACATGTTATTACTGTGCTGTCAGATAGCCAAAAAAACTACCAGGCAGTACCCCGTTAACAATTTGCTAGACAAAGATTCTTTTGGATTGATTAACTCTGCCAAACGTATTCATAAGCACTGGCAAAAATACTTCAATTTAAACCATAATAAAATTTAATTAAGCCTAAAACAAATCAAGATAAGCTTCCAAAGTCAAAAGAGCAGATAATGCATTTAAGTTGATGTGGAGGTTAAAAAAATGTATCACTACTCTTTAAAGTTCATCAAACAGTGACGTAGATGATGAAGAAGTCATTAAGACTAGTAAAACACAGAAAAATATCTCTTTCTCAAGGTGTCTACCTAGAATAGAGTTAGTTATTAAAACAGAGTATAAAGGCCAACTCTTAGTTTCGGTTTTTAATTACTAAGGTATTCTTTCTGAAAAAAAGGCAATTTAAAGGATTAAAGAAAGACAGGGACGAATTCTAAGAAATTGTTCACCTTATAGAGAGTCAACTGAATCGAGTAAAGAAAGGAAGGGACCAACTCTAGGTGTCCATTTAAGTGAGGTGTCCATCTTATAGAGGGTCCACTAAAGGAGTTAAGAAAGGCATAGACCAATTAAACTCTATGTGTTTGTTTTAGAAAGGTGTTAGTCTTATAGAATTGTCTGTTACAAGAGAGTTGACTGTATCAGTTTTCAAGTTTATTGTTTTGTCATAATATATATGTTACCATTAATTTTTTATTTTAGGTAATTTTTGTTTTTTCTTTGTTTCATATTCATTAGCATACATTACCATATCCATGTTGATGCAATGTAAGTGTCAAAAAATTCCCATAACATATTAAAAAAAAGATAGGTCTACTAAATAAATATGAAATAAAATCTGCATTTACGACTTGCTGCCTACCATCATGGCTATCCTGCCTACTATGGAAAACATTTTCACTGGACAGAAATACATTCAGCAAGTATCTAGGCCTTCTATTACAGTTGGTCATTTTCAAACAATTTATTACTTTCTGTAAACACGAAAACAATAACATTCTCTCAGGGAAAGGATTTAAGCAGGACAAAAGAAAATTTGAGCCCTGCATTTAATTGGAAACAGGGTTCGTACCCTTTTTTTGAACAAAAAATTCGAGAACTTTTCACAGACTTTCAAGGACACATTTCCCATTTTCAAGGACTTCATTCAGTGCAAAGAAGGGCCTTAAGTCTATGTCTTTTTTAGTCCTTCCACAACATGAGTAATTTCATCCCAAAGTTCTTTCTATGTACGCTCCTTTTTCTTTGGAGTTCTACCTAAACTATAAAATTAGCATTGAAATTCAAGGACTTTCAAGGTGCGTGCAAACCAAGTGAAAAGATTTTACAGCAGTGGCCATTGCAATAGACTATTGCGTTTCATACCTGTACCCACCCTGACCCCTCACCCACCTGTTGAGGAACCATGGAATTCTTCAGGGGTAAGTTATAAAAATTGAGAATTTCTTTAGGGGTAAGGTAAAAATTAAGGAATTCATTGGGAATGGAGCTTTGATTTTCACAAAATTCTGCAGGGGTACAACCATATTCTTTAGGGGTAGGACCCATATTCGTCAGGGGTAAAGATTTCCATGTAGCCCCATACATTTATAATTATTATGCATACATGTTTCGACTCTATTCATGTTGACTATTTGAGACAAAAATTATGAAATCGTTGCATACATAATAAATGTATGGGGTTATATGAAAATCTTACCAATGCTTGTTTTTAACGTTCAGGGGTAAGAAGGAAGGGTTAAGTCCTCAACTGGCATTGGGGATATAAGGATATTAAATGCAATGACTGCAATGGCCCAGTTATTGCTACTTTTGACCTCGAGATCTGTTGTTGAAAGTTTACAGGTTACCTAATTTGCCCTTTCATTTTCGCTAAAATCATTAATAATATTTCCCCAAAAATATTGAAGTTCCTCTGGATAATTTTTAAAAAGTCTTTGCTATAAGGACTTTGTTTGGATGAGCTTCTGCTTAAAACTGATCATGAGTTATTTGTTTCCAAAAGAACTCAATGATAAATGGCTGTTATTCCAGTGATACCTTGCGGTGTGTATAATGATAAGAAGCAGATATTCCTTCAAGATCGTGCGTGGATTTCATCGCGGAGAAAGAGTTCCCTCACCAATTTATTCCTGCCAGACTTGCTGTAGTCTCTTTCACAACAAGACAAGCGAGCTTGACTTTTTCGCGGATCGAACGCAACCAATCAGAATTTAGAAGAACAGAAATTCGACCAATCAGCAAGCGAAGAAATTGACCAATCACGGACTTAAAATCTACATATATAATATTCAATCACCTTTGATTGACGCCATTGATAAATTTTAACCGCATTGAATAGAAGAAACGGGGTAGAAAACATTTCATCACTGTTGAAAGTGAAAAATGGCTCGTACGAAGCAAACAGCACGTAAATCAACCGGAGGAAAGGCTCCGAGGAAACAGTTAGCGACTAAAGCAGCTCGTAAGAGCGCCCCATCGACCGGTGGAGTGAAAAAGCCTCATCGTTATAGACCCGGTACTGTCGCTCTTCGTGAAATTCGTCGTTACCAGAAGTCTACTGAATTGTTGATCAGAAAGCTTCCGTTCCAGCGACTTGTACGTGAAATTGCCCAAGACTTTAAAACTGATCTTCGTTTCCAAAGTGCTGCCATTGGCGCCCTACAAGAAGCCGCTGAAGCTTACCTGGTTGGTCTCTTCGAAGATACAAACTTGTGCGCTATCCACGCCAAGCGTGTAACAATTATGCCAAAGGATATCCAGCTTGCCCGTCGAATCCGAGGAGAACGTGCTTAAAGTCAACTTAAAATGTTTGCTGTACATAACTAGACTTTTATGGAAGTTTTCAAGCAAGAATCTAACTGAACTTTATTATAATATACATGCGCTAGTGGCGAACGATCAAAGACATTCAAAATAATCATTTCTGTGTATACGCTTTCCGTTATTTTCTCTGTAACTTTCGTTAATTTTTAGTTTGAGTTGAATCAAATCATCTCATTGTAGTTGATTTTTGGCCTGTAAACTTGTGTGTTTTAAAGAGTTTTACCCTGGAAGTGTTGTTTTAAGTTGTCCGTTGTTATATTTTGGCGCATTTTATGCTGGGCGACAAGGCGTCTTTGTTTCCCAAAGGTGGGTGCTAAGAATCTAAAAAACGCTCACTGCCATAAAAAGCCCGTGTTCGTTGTAGAACGACTGAGATGTTGCTCATGGCCGTATTGGGACAAAAATAATCCCGCGTGGTTACTCTAGTAGTGCAAACTGGCAACCTTTCTGTAAATTAATTATATACATTTTTAACTAACCCTTATTTAAGAGGCAAATAAAACTGTCTTGTAGAAAACCAGTGTACAGTGACGTTTATGGTAGCTTTAGAATATAAATTTCGCTATAAATACATGCTGTCGGGCCGCAAGGGAATTTTAGCGGCGATTTCCACATAGTCGATCCACAGCGTGAAATTCGCAATAATGTGGCAGCGATGTGTGAATCGATGCCTAAAAACTAACATTTCTTGGTGAGGGGAAGATGTTACGAGCAATCGGGGAATTGATACCACCAGCCATTATAAACCGTCGTGCTTGACAGAAGGCGGCAGCGGCTGTTTCATTCTCCTTCGATCTTCCTAGAAAATAGGAAGATTGAAGAAGACTCTGCTCAATGCGGTGGATGGTATCTTTTGTCTTTCACTTTACCTTGAGCAAAGTACAGTGATTCACGAGTGATCGAGAAAAGAAATACGAGTTTTCCGTTTTCGTAATTGTTCGTCACCACTTCGGAATTCTTCGGTTTCTCAGTTCCAGTCTCCTGGAGGGAACGGCAGCAACAAAGATGGCGGCCACCCGGTTTTGTAGGTTCATAGTCCCATCTACTTCTGTGAAAGTTACGACAAAAGTATTCGGCAAAACAGGGATTTTTAACCTAGCAAGGCAGATCTATGTAAGATTTCATTTATGACTTATTGTCTTTTTGTTTTTCATTTTCTGTGTACTTTCTTTATCAAACAAATGCCCTGGTTGAACCGTTCTCAAAATGATGTGACCCCGTTGCAGGTTCCAGGTATATGGAAACGTTCATTCTCTACAGAGGTGAGTTACCTCGCTGAACCAACTTGAAATAAACTCTTGATCCTTCTATACCAGCCTGGCCAGCTGCTTTGAACTTTATGTTGTTCACAAACAGCATGCATGTTAACTATTAAACCTCATGTAATATTTTAAAATATTTCGTCCCGAGATTGTCAAACCCAGAGCACGTTTTGTTTTTTTACTATTATTACAACAAACAGTATTCAATTTAAGGGAGAATTAGCACAGAACCATAAATAGGAGGAACTGCTGAGAAGAGACCTTGACACTCGACACAGCTTCTAGTAGATTTAACGAAGAATGTACTGATATTGCTGTGAGCATGTTCAAAAGCCATTTATATTGTAATCTTTTTCTAGTCCAGAAAGGTAACACTTATTCCTGGTGATGGAATAGGACCTGAAATTTCCGATGCTGTCAAAGATGTATTTGCTGCTGCCAAGGTTTGTCGTATTCTTTCTTAACATTTTTTGTTATGTTACGCCATAACATAATTTATTACCTAACAAGCTAACTTTATGCACATGTCATGGGCTAACCCCAGAGTTAGCACTTTATGTTTTTGCTTGTGATTCTAGAACAGTCTGACCTGTCAGATAACAGACAGCACCCAGCTAAAATTTCTTGAGCCCTGTTGATGTGAATCTCCTATCTTGAATTCACTTTTAGGTTCCTATTGAATGGGAAGAAGTCACAGTGGCCCCTATTCTTCTTCCTGATGGTAAAACAACCATCCCAGCTGCAGCAATAAACTCTATGAATAAGAACAAGATTGGACTCAAAGGTACCTTTACTACTATAATAATAACGAGAGAAATAATAAATTATTAGCTAGGGGTCGTTGACGTATTCACTTTCCCCCTGCTTAACGTCAACTGGATGTTTAGGGGAAGGGGGTAAGCCAGTTGACGTTAGTGCAGGGCATTTTTGGATAAAAGCAAACTGATGCATTTTCATGTCACTAAATATTTTGTGGAATGGCGCTCGTGACATTATTTACGAGAAAGTAGGACCAATATTGTTGTAGAAGTGAGTGCCAATTGAGCTCTTTTAAACTCTGCTCTGCTCACTACTAGCAAATTACACATTTCACATTTTGAACCAAGCAATTGTGCAGATTTTGCAAAGAACAGGAGGGAGAAAGCATAATTCTTATTATGAAGTTTCTACCACGTTATAAAAGCAGTAAATTGTGTTGATACCATTGACATCTTCATGTAGGCGCATTTCAGTATTCCCTCTGGAATGCGACTTTTGGGGCAGCAAAAAAATTAAGTGGACGTTAAGGAGGAGGGGGGGGGGAGAGGGTCTGACCTAAATGTCCAGTTGACGTTAAGCGGGGGAAAAGTGAATACTGTTATGTCAATGGCCCCTTACTGCAAAGAAGTGGTTGTTCTCCATTTTGTTTCTCACAAATTTTGTCCTGTTACTAGATGAGGTGAGGGATTGTTGAGAAGGAGAGAAAATGAGAGAAATATCTTACAGAATTCCTAAGCCCATCTGTTTGACTTTATTCATTGTTCTCAAAGTGCAAACCTTTTTGGTACTTTTATCAATTCTGTTGCACGACTTTAAAAGTCAAGCATTTTTTTTGCTTTGTGTACCGCTGACAATCTCTTTGGAAGTTCCCCAAGACAAAGCCAAAAAAGGGATAGGGCTAGAGAAGGCAAATATAGTGAATGGCATTCAATTTTCTACCACAGTTTGAAACAAAGTAGCTAAGAATATTTTAACTATGTTTGCTAAGGAATATTTAGTTCAAGCAGTAATGTAGACACAGAATGAAAATGTTGTAAATGTTGTTTGTAGTGTTGTAATTCCCTGATGTATTTTGCTCTTTAAACATAATTATCCAAGGGAGAACTTCTATTGGATGCATGTAATTGCTGTAAACAGTTACATGAAATTCACTCCCGTCAATTGGTTGACCAGAAAGGTTCAAATGCCTTGGCTTAGCAACAACAACCACAACTATCTTCTTCTAGAGTATAGATGTGAGTCTTAAGAATGTTTGTTTTATTGTGATAGGACCACTGGAGACAAAGATTGGTAAAGGACATGTGTCTATGAATTTGACGCTCAGAAGGTTAGAAGGGTTAATATATTAACTTAATAGGTCTAATTTACTTACTTAATACTTGAGATGCCACAATACAAACATAAAACCTGTGATAATCAAACCCAAACCTGGATTGCTTTGAGGTATGATTGTTTCCTAATTTACAGAGAGGATTTGATGTCCAGACTCGTTAAGCCTTTGCAGTTTTTGGCCTCATCTCAAGCCCTGTTAGGAATAGCTTAAATAAATTGAAATGAATAGTAAATGTTAGTGACAATGATGATATTGGTTTACATGTATTTGATTGTACATGTGTATTAGGAGTAATAATCCAATTTTTTATCCCCATCTAGTTAGAGGAAAGGGAAAATGGTTGTGATGAGGGTGCTAGTAAAATTCACTTTAAAACAAGCTGCGCTTTTTGACATTGTCTTCCTTCTCCAGGATTTTTAATCTGTATGCCAATGTACGGCCGTGCCGGTCCATAGAGGGCTATCCCACAGCATACGATGACGTTAATCTGGTTACAATTAGGGAAAACACAGAGGGAGAATACAGTGGCATAGAGCATGTGGCAAGTCAATAGCTCAAAATTTGTTGAATGTAAAATTAATTATTTGTTAAATATTACACATCCAGTTTAATGGCATTTAATATTATAATTAATATGCTCAGATATTTTGCAAGTTGTCTAGTATTTGGTGTGAGGAAAACTACCATCATGTATAAGCAGGGTCCTAAATGTTCACACATAGTTATTTGTGGTACATCAAACCCTCCAGTAAAGGATGTATTGTTCCATGAAATAACAGGGCTGTCACCAAGTTTTTAAGTTGCTGGGTATATGCAGCTAGTAGGTGGGAAACTGAACAGCCGAAAAGTTCTTTATATTTTATTTTACTCATGTTTCGTCTCAAAGTAGCCAGGGATCATGCTCATAGTAGCTGGGGGAAATCCCCTACCCCTGGCCCTTTGTGACAGCGCTGAATAAAATCACCCCAAAAATTGGAACTAGTCCAGTGATTTTGTTGACTCTTTGCTCCATCAGCAACAGAAACATGACGTAATAGTGAGCTTAACCAAAGATGTGTTTGAGCAATGTACATCAACCAGGCCCCAGTTGTTCAAAAGGTCGATAATGCTATATACAGGATAAATCACTTACCACTGGATAGCACAATTGGCTTTCCTAACACTTATCGGTTGGATAGTGATTTATCCAGTGGATAGCCCAATGTGAACTTTTTGCATTCTTGGGCGGGGGTTTTGCCCAGACTTTTGAGTAAATCATCACGATAAGAGTAAAGAAACCTTGCAATACACATTCCAAAATAAAAGAATCAAGGTATAAATTGAACAGGAAAAAGGCCTCACCTCCTGTTGATGTGCATCCCTCAAAAACACCTTTGCTTTAAGTGCCTCCCGGGTGACTTAGTAATGGAATGATAGAGTGGGTTACAGATTGTGTCTATAAGGCTGTTTTAAGGTGAGGTGAAACACCTGACAAAGTAAGTGTCCCATGTTTTTCCAAATTGTTCTTTTCTTTTACAAGCAAACAAAAGGCAACCAAGCTTGAAGTAAAATGTAGCCATTCATCAGAAGTCACTTACATATTTCTTTTCAGACTCTGTTTAACCTGTGAGCACAGAGGTTCTGGTCGTTGCCTCTCTCCACCCCAAAAGTAACTTACTTTTTGGGTGGAGAGAAGCAATGACTAGAAATATATCTGAGTTTGCTGGCTAGACACCATTTAATTCTTGGATTTTTTTCAGAAATATCTCTGCACCATCAATGGGACTAATTGATAACATTTTATTTTCTTGGCAGGTTGTTGATGGTGTAGTGCAAAGTATTAAACTGATCACAAAGGAAGCCTCACAACGAGTTGCAGACTTTGCATTTAGCTTTGCTAAGGCAAATGGTCGACGTACTGTTACTGCTGTACATAAAGCCAACATCATGTAAGTACGAAATATTATTGTAAATCATTTGATGAAAAATGTAATGCAGTTACTTATTGTCTTGCTTTTGTGGGCCTATTAAATTTTGTAAAACCCAGTGTGCACAGGAAGCGGTGTCCGATGGCCTGGGGCTAGTGGATTTTGTTATCGCGCGAGTGATTTCTATTCTTAAATTGCCCGATGGGCAAATGAAGTTTTTTGGGGGAATTCAAATTACAGAAGAACTGTAACCAATGCTCATCAAAAATTTTTTTCGGGCTAGTTGAAGTGACTTTTGGGCTAGTACGTGCTAGCTACAGCTTGCCCGAATGACAAGCTGTAAAACTGACTTTCTTTGCACTCTGAAAACCTAAAACAGTTTGTCAAATCCAAGTCCTTTAGAGACACCTGTCCAACACCCTGCTGAAACTTGCCTTAATTTTGCCGTGATACTTGTACAGTTGAACCTCTATTAAACAGCCCCCTCCTAAGCGGCCACCCTCTATTAACCCTTTAAACCCTATGATCAAAATTTGAATTCTCATTCGTTACCCCTATTCATTTCCTACAGAGGTAGTGGGGAGAAGTTGTTAAAATATCGCGCAAATTCATCTTGTGTGATCATGTCTGTAATTCTCATGACCACTCTGTTTTACAAAGCATTGATATTACAGGGATAAATTTGATGCTGATCACTTTTAGGGCTTAAAGGGTTAAGTGGCCAGTTATCAAAGTCCCAAAGTAATTGTAGAAGCAAATGGAAAATTAATCCTCTGCAGCCCCCCACCTCTATTAAGCGGCTGCGGCCACCTTTTTGCCATCCCAGTGAGAGTTCCCATTGTTGTCACCTCTATTAAGCAGCCATCAAGCACTTGATACACTTAGTTTAGCTTTTTCTTTAAGAATATAATGAAGGAAAATACACACCAAGATAGACGGCGACAACTGATTGTGGACCAGTAATGCTGGTCTCATCACGAGACAGTTTGTTTCAAAATAAAGTGATGTTTCTGCTAAATATTATGCTAATTTATAATGAGCACCCAACCTCCAAATGGCCAATTGCTGATACCCCAAAGGGTGGCTGGTTAATGGAGGTTCAACTGTATTTTTGAACCCCTTTTGGGAAGTTGCAAATCTGTCACTTCACAGGGTGGCCACTTTGAGAATAAGTTTGTTGCAAACTTGAACTCTTTAACCCTTAAAAGTGATCAACTTTTAATTTCTCATAATACATCTAGTAACTAAGATTTCCTAGTCACCTAAGAGCAAAAGCAAGGTGCCAGTGGCCACTGGGCACTGCAAGAGCGTAGCCCTTCAGCGTTAAAGAAAGGACCTCCACTGTCTACGTTGTTCTTTATTCACATTACTGCAGTGAAAACTGGTCAAGTATTGCTAAGTAGAATAAGGCGATTATTTAAATCTTGAGTTCATTTTTTGCTTCAATATCACATTCTTCAGTTGTTAAAAATTCACACCAAGCCTTGATTTATAAGTGGAATACTGTTTAGATTTAAGTGAGACATCAGTCATGAAAACAAACAGAGCACCAGAGTTCTAGACTGGGAATTGCTGCTATAATTTTGTTGCATCCTGGGGAAAAATTTTACACTTTAAGTATTGAACAGTATTAACGCTTTTTTCCATGTATGATGAATACTCATTCTTAAAGTCATAACTTCTAAGTGTTTTTAAAAGAGATATTCAGGATTTCATTCAAATCTTGGACATATTTCATTTCAGTCTTGTGGATAGCTGTCACACTAATGATTTTGACCTAATGAACTCTGCACCTTTAAAGATTGATGCCTTTTATCCAATTTTATGAACTCCATTCTTGAATCATTTCAAGAATTGAGTTCTTATTGTTTTGAAGTTTTTAGTTCTTCAACTGAACAATGTGACATTAAAACCAATAAAGCACTCAGTTTTGAAATAAAGTATCATCAAGTTCAAATTTTATTCTTCCTAGGAACACTTGACCAGTTTTCACAGTAACTACGGTTGTAACAATTAACTATGAGTTGTAACAATTCATCCTGATGGTTTTGCTTTGTGCTTTGCTAATAACACTTAGGAGAAAATCTGATGGTCTGTTTCTGCAATGCTGTCGAGAGGCTGCTGAGAAGAACAAAGATGTCAGATATAATGAGATGTATTTGGATACCACTTGTCTTAATGTGAGTGTAGAAGGCACTAAATTACTTAACTACTATGGTAACCATGAGGTTTATGTTAGGACCATTGCAGCCTTTGCACTGTGTTGCATGAAGGCAGTCAATAGACCAGGATATGTACCAAGAAATAAAATTTGCTACCCAACCGAAGCTAATAAACCTGGTTGACCTGTGCAGTCTCTTAGTCCTGGGCTTGCTGTACAGTAGATTGCACTCTCCCTTATGTTGGTGGGTCACATTATTATGCAATCAATAATATTGGACCCCATGCACACCTCCTGATGTATGTCCTCAGCCCACTGGGTCCATTTAATATGGCCAATGTCAGATTATGTCAAGGATATTCCAACAGTACAGTAATGATCAGTGCATTCCCATTTTTATCGCCAAGAGATGTATTGCGTGACAAAATTTAATGCAGTTAGAGACAAACAACAACAAAGAGCAGCACCTCGCTTGTGTAGCAATTGTTCCCTGTGGTTTCAGGGTAGAGAACAAGGAACTAGAGTCAAAGACCGCGCGAAAAATGGCACTCTCGTTCCATTTTTCGTGTGGCCAAAACCGTAAAACCCGTTCGTTGGTCTTTCTTTGCTCAGAAACGAAACGGAAACGCTTGCTATGCAGGCGAAGCACCACATCATGTCATTGGTCAGCAGTCAGTTTAGTGAAGCAGGCTCAGACAGACTTGTTTGTGCATGCACTAGCTCCATTTTCTTGGTACAGCATTTCATGGCAGCCTCTGGGCCTTGTTTAGCCTTTGTATCTTGCATTTACCCACAAATATCCATCCCTTTATCTTTCTACTAAAGTTGGTTAAACAGATGCCTGGCTATGTTAGCATAGAAGCTCATGGCTGTGAGGCGAAGATTTACCAGCTATTGTGGCATTACTCCATGTAGGGGTTGGCTTTGTCAAAAAAAGGAAGCCCCTGGACATACCAGGCATTCGCCACTACCATAGTCTCTCCCTCTATTAAGCGATGCAGTAGTATTATCATTTAGTATTTCTTTATTGTCAGATTGTAAAAGATCCTAAAGAATTTGATGTTATGGTGATGCCAAACTTATATGGAGATATTTTAAGGTAAACTTATTAATAATGATGACGACAATGAGAACGACGGACGACGGACGGCGGACGACGGACGACACGACGACAACGAGGTTTTGTCGTATAAGACAGAGTATTTCCGAACTGTTTCTGATAGCAGTTCGTCAATATCTTCATGAACTTCAACTTCTCCACCAACAACATCCTCCCCTGAAGCCGCCATATTAAAAATTGTGCTTGAGGGAGACTAAGTTCGATAGTTTTTGACACGCTCTGATTGGTCCTTTGTTTTGTTGTTACATGTATGTCGAAGGTTGTTCACGCTAGTTTGTACCTTGCATAACCAAAACATAACAACAGAATGACATAAAGATAAGATCACTTTTTTCCTTCCTTCATTATGTCCAAGTCGTTGTGTTGTTATAATGTCGTTTTTCATGATGTTCACGCTACAAACATAACGAACGACGTAACCGCCTCCTTATGTCGTTATGGTAATTTCGTTATGTCGCAAGTGTGGACCAGGTTTATAACGTTCTTAATATTATGAAGAATAATTATTATTACAGACTCTACTTTTTTAAAAGTGATGTTAAGGTTCTTATATTATTAGAACTGACATAATCTTTCTTTCCTTCCATTATAGTGATTTGTGTGCAGGTTTAATTGGTGGGTTAGGAGTCACGCCCAGTGGAAATATTGGAGCAGATGGAGTAGCCATATTTGAATCAGTGAGTGTGTTGTTATTTGTGTTGTGGAGGTGCAGGGTGGAGATGTTTGCTCTTTGAGTATCAGTTCTATTAAAGTAGGAAAGGAGTGATGGGGCTATTTATTAATTAGATATACAATGTAAAGTGTTTGTGCACCAGACTCTGGGCTCAATTGTTTAGTACTGGAACAATACTAGGGGTCGGTTACCGATTGTTTCGATACAAGTTGTTTCAATGCAGCTTTATTCATTCGAGGTGTAAATACTTCCACGTACTTGGCTTAAAGAAAGGAGTTATTCACCCAAAATGATTTTCTTGTTCACTCGCAAACTATATTTGAGATGAACAAACGTTTTGTGCAATTTCGCTGCTTAAGTTTGTATCGAAATGATTTGGTATCGAGACGATTCCCTAGGGGAGTTTTCACTGAGTAAAGCTAAACTGAGCTAATTGTTTTACCTTCCTTTCCTTCCAGTGAGGCTCTGTCTCACATCGTTTCTACTTAATCTAACTCTATCAGAGTGAAAAAAATAAATATAAAACACTAGGAGTCGGTTATTTGAGCAAAGTGAAAGTTATGACGTGCTTCAAGAAGCTCAGTGGCCTGTAAATGTTGTCTTAAAGCGGCGTATTTTTAGTAGATTAATATCCTTGTTAGCCCGGTTGTAAACCTCCCTGATGCTTGGGCGGTGGCTTTAAGCCGTTGGCCTTGTCTCCATCATCCTTCTTTCATTATATTAGTCAGTTCGAAAGAGGATGTAAAAGAACCCACGCTACTGTTCGATAAGACTTGGGGAAGTTCCTCAGTGGTGTGGTCTAACTCATTTTATCCCATGTCATAAAGAATACAGCCAATCAGAAAGCTAGAACACCGTTGCATACTCTACGGTATGTAACGGGTATTATCATTCGATGAAAAAAATTTTAAAAAAATCATTGGCCGAGAGCCCACCACGTGACCTGCAAATAACTGCCAACAAGTAATGGTCTGCTCATGCGCAGTGTCGTCCCACTGTGTTTGGCGACAAATAATATTCTGCTCATGCTTAAATTAAACCACGCTTTTCTCCTTCTTGCGATCGCTCTTGCATGAAATGGCACATCGCTTCGCTTACCTTTCAGAGTTTAAAACACAAACTCGGTTATAGCAAAATATCGTGTTTTGTCAGTGTCTCGCAGTCAACTATTTTCCTTAGCCTTTGATATTTTACTCAACCTCGTCCAATATTTAGTATTTTACGCAAAAATCCCTACGATGCTCGCGGCCTTTACCTTTTCCCGCCGAAAACAAAGCGGATGCCGACAGCAGAAACTTTCATTCTTCAAAAATTGCGAGAAGCAACTTCATAAATAACACTGTTAAACCCAAGTTTCATCTACCATTCGAACTTCTAGGAAGTCAAAGTTGCAAAAGCGATACAAAACGAAATCAAACAGACTACAACGGACAAATTTATTTGTCGATAGCAACAAAAACAAATCAGTTAATCCGTGTTGCGAAGAGCGAGATGGATCCGCATTTCAAAACAACAAGCCTACTGAAATGCCGCGAGAAACGTTCAACAGATGTGTTGCCATTTTCTTCAGGATTCAGGTAAAGTAGACAGAAGTGAACGCGACCTTTATTCATTGATAAGCTGTCGATTATTTAAACATTGTTGATTACAGATTACATTTATTATTTAAAAGTGACTTTCTTTTTGTTTACCTTAAGGCCTGATCGCGGGTTACTTTATTATTAAACATGTTTAGGTGTAGTCGTGTTATTCTTGTTACTAACCACTTTGGTAACAATAGTAAGTAATATAGTCATCTTTTGTAACTTGCGATTGCAATTATAACCGCAGAAACATTCCTTCAGAACTGAAATGTGTGTGTTCTTGGAATTCTAAATGAATGAAGGATATCGATAAAGTTAACTGTAAAGGTGAAGGTATTGTTAATGGGGCGTTAGCGACGGCGACGGCGACGGCGACGGCGATGGCGTTGGTAATAATTAGTATAACAAATCTGACTAGGTGCTGCTAGTCAAAGGTTAATGGCCTCGATCATTAAATTCTCCTTTCCTTTACTAGCCTGAGATCAGGCCCAATTTTCGCTGCTTCTATACATTCTATTTTACGTGGTCGCGCAAAAATTGGGCTCTCTTTTTCATTTACGAAGCGAAACGAAAATAGAGCCTGATCTCAGGTTATTCCTTTACTATTGAGAATAGTCGCGTGTTTCATATAGCATATTGTCGAAAACTGTAATGCATTTTGGTTTTTATTGTTTTCAGGTTCATGGCACAGCCCCCGATATTGCAGGCCAGGACAAAGCCAACCCCACAGCTCTCCTACTAAGTGCTGTTATGATGCTCCGGCATATGGAACTTCACTCACATGCAGACAGTGTAGAGGGAGCAGTATTGGAGACTATCAAAGAAGGACAAGTAAGAATCTGCCTGATCCCTAACAGTCCAAAGCTCTCTTCTCCCCAGAGGCTAAAAAAGTAGTAAGCGCGAAAGGGGCGATGAAGGAGAGAAAAGGCAAAGTTCCTTTTCTCCTCTCTCCCGTAGCCATCACTCCGCGCTCTGTTTTTTCTGCTCTGCCCAGCCTACCTCTGACACAGTAAGGAGGTTGAGCTACAACGACGGCGACGGCGACGGCGACGGCGACGGCAACGAGAACGTCAAAAAATCAATAGTTTATAGTAAAACATCAATTTGCACTTGCATCACACTTTTTTGTACATTTCTTTGCCGTGTGTCACGTTTTATAGAGGACGTAAACAAGTGACGAAGAAATTTTCTTTCTCTTTCTAAACTCGAGTGCAGTGCCCAAGAAATCAACTCCAGGGAAGTTTGCCTACATGAGACATTTTCAGCGAATTGGAATAAACGCGACAAAGTCTGAAAAAACGTTTTCGCTGTCGTCGCCGTCATCGATGCTAAAACTCCCTGGCGAGTCCTCTGCGGTGGAGAGAGAGTTCAAGAATTGTAAAAATTCAAGAAATGCACCAGATTTCATGTTGTTTAGTTCTGAGGGATATATAGCGTCATGTGAAAATCCTGCTAGTGTAGGGGGTGTGTGCGAGTAACTCGCTCGTTACGCGAGGTGGTACCGAGAGTCTACTTCTTTCATCTTGGTTTTTGCTTCTCTTTGTTTCCTCATCTTCTTAACTCCTTCTCTTACCAACTCGTAACTCTCTTAATCTTCTCTTCTGCTCTTACTATTAAGGCCCGGTTCAGACGCCGAACTTTTCATGAGCCGAACCTAATTCGAATTAAGGCCGACCTAAATTATTTAGACCGGCTGAATTGATCCAGACGCCGATCTTAATAATTCCAGCCGAAATAAATTCAAAACGAGAAAAAGGCTCATTTCGGTCAAACTACGTACAAAATACGTTAATAGTAATTTAGGCATTAGGTTCGGTGCATGAAAAGTTCGGCGTCTAAATCAAAGCTGTTCCAAATTAAGTCGCTCCAAAGGAGAAATTCCCGGCCGGGTCAGGCGAAAAGAACGGGTGAGCCGTTCCATATTAAAATAGGCGTTCCTAATTGATCCAGTGGCCGAACGTTTCATGTACTTAATTCATTGTATTAGGTTCGGCTCATGAAAAGTTCGGCGTCTGAACCGGGCCTAAGTCAAATAGTAACTATTTTTATAGCCAAAGCTGGATATGTTTAGGCTAGCTGACCGTGGGAATAAAAGCAAGGTAAAGGAGCTCGGTGTGGGTAGTGTTTTGGTACAACTGAATGTACACGGCTATGATCGGCAAGAAGCTACAGACCAATGAAAAGCTAAAATGCTTGTTAAAAAACCCAAACAGGAACTTCAACTGGACTTATGAACTAAGGTCACAAACACGACCACCTACAGTTTGTATGAAAAACTAACCTCTGACAATGGCAAGCGAAGAATATTCTTAAAATGGCAGTAAGTAAATTCGCCAGCTAAGCAAAAATTCAAGTACTGGTAAAATCATAGAGCAAAACAGGAAATCACCCATGACAAAATCAGGACAAACCTTGACCCACTTAATGAGACAAAAACGAAACTTAAAAAATGAGACAGGTCTGAAAAGTAAAATACTTCACAACACTAGCTTGTAAACGCAAGAACTTTTCCGACTCTCGCTTCTTCGTCTGCGTTCGCAGTCTTAAAACTCGTCAATAAAATGAATTATTTCAATGGCTAGATCGCGAGAAGGTTTTTGTCCTCAGACTCAAAAGTTGGAGCTCTGTTGCATGAGCATCACTGAAGGAGATGCTAGTTTTTCGTAATATTCAATATCCTGTTCTTGTCGGTTTTCTCTCTCCCATCTGCGGACTAACTTAGCCCTGTGGCTCTCTCGTATTCTGAGATGGGACGAGAAGGAACGGAGAGGAACTTTTTTCTCTAATTTATCGCCTCCTCCATGCCCTTTGTCCAAATTTCTTGCTCCTTACATTGGTATACCCTTCCGGAAATGGCTTCATGTAAAGGAATCCTGAAATAATTAGTGACCTGATTGTCTTAAGTTGTTATGTAGCTGAAGTTTAACCCCGACAGTTCGCGCTGGCTCGAGCTCTCAATGGCTACGTCCAGGTCTCAAGACCGTATCGAAAATGAAGAGTCCCTCTGCTTCGGGGACTGACATAAACGCCTGTAAAATGCTCTCTACGAAACAATTCGTTGTGCTTTCTTTCTTTTAATCTCACTGTAAAATAATCCTGTTTTCTGCTCTCTCGCCGTCTGATATCATTACCCTCCATCTTGTAGTGTTTATGTTTGAGTTCCATAACCAACTTTTACCTTCAGTTTTTGATACCTTTTTTAATCCTGTTAAGAACATACATAGATATAACACTAGGTTGTCCTCCAGGAAGACTTGTGCTAACCCTAAAGCCAGAACAAATTATGGAATTTTTAATTTAAGGTTCCAGGGTGCTAAAGTTTGGAATGATATAACTGATGACATCAAGCTCCTCTATCTCAAACGTCTTAAGAAAAAGCTAAAGTCAATTCGTATTGATAAATATTAACCGCAGTTTTATCAACACCATATTTTTTTTTGGCTTTCCGTTGTTTAATACTGGCATACTCAGGTTTCTTTTGTTGTCTTTCTTTTTTAACTAGTTTTCTTCCTTTTTTTGCGTCTGTGTTTTGTGTAGCTGTGTGTAGTGTGTGGTACCTGACCCTTAATTTAATCATTTATTAATAACCTAAGTAAGGCTGCCCTATCTTTTTAGCCCTCAACGGTTATTATGGACAGCCTGTACTCTCTCCATATTTTATAGTAATATTTTTGTATCATGTAAATCAATGTAGGGTACAAATAAAGTTGTTGATGTTGTTCTCTCGCAAATACAGTTTCTCGCCCTCACAATTCTTGCACGTGCTCTAGTACAAATATGAAAGTAATTTATGCAAAGTCTTCCCGTAAGGGAAGGGTAAATCTAAACCTCTCGCACAACTCTTCGCCTTGAGACCAGTTAGTGTTCAAACTGTGAATTGTTTGTCTACTACCCTGACAGGTTTTGACTGGAGACCTTGGTGGCCGTAGCACGTGTTCTGAGTTTACACGGGAGATCTGCCGGAAGCTTGAATAGTTTTTTAACGTCTCTGAATCTGTCCAAGCTGGTTTTGGAGTTCATCGATGTGATTGGACCTTATTTTGGTGGAGCCATTTTATCATTTGGTGATTAAGTTATCGTTTTCCACAGATGTACTTTTCCGGCCGTAGGTTTCTTCGCCTTTGGATATCGAAATTGCAATGGCAAATTTAATTTTGTTCTTTGTCGCCACTCTCAATCCCAAGATTATACCTTCAGAAACTGTGAATTGAAATATTTTCTGTTCCAACAAGTGAATAACGTTCTCTCCTTTTCTTCTTATTTTTGCGTATTTCAACTGTAAATTAACAGAACGTTACAAATCGAAGATGCTCTTATGACTAGCAACTTAGTGCTATTAATAATCTAAAATGATTTGTAAATTTTAAAATCAGGCTAGTTTATTTGCCCGTTGTTAAAAAGTGATCTTAGTTGATTGATTTTCGGACATAATTTCCTTGAGCTGTAAGATTTATGTAAGTTCAATTAGACTATTGCAAATTGTACATTGAAGTCATAAAGAGAGAAAGATAGACGCTGATTTATGTTTTCATGTGTTTATGTCACCATACTCACGATCAGCAAAGGTTTCTCTCCCCCTCCCCCTCCCCCTCCTCCTTTTTTCGCCCTGACGCCTACCCCAAGGGTTGATATTTCTTCTCTCCCCAGTCTTCCTCAGAGACGAAATCAAAGATGGCGGTCACGTCAGTACGAATTTTAGACCCTGGGGACGGGCTTGGCAACTTTCGCTTACCCAAAAATACGCGTGCAATGCAGGCTATCAAATGGCGGGAAGCTTTTCTACAAAAACAAACGTGAGAGTGGTAACTACGCAACCGTGATAATCTGTTATGTACCACGCTAAACAACTCTGATAACTGTAAAGTTTACTTAATATTACTACAAAGTTTTTTTAATGGTGGAAAAATAGTTCGAAGGAATTAAGTAAAACGATGAAGGGAAGCCAGCAAGGATGTGTAAAATAGTATAAACCCCTTTTGAGTGAAGGTTTTATTGTCTGTCGCTCCTCTTGTGTTTTTTCCCTTTTCTCTTCACGGACAGTTCTCTTCCAGGCCACAGTAATTCCAGTAGCGAATATCCTCTCCTTCTTCGCTTCCGCTACCAAATGGCCAATTACTTCTGCTAATATCTATTGGATTAGTTGATATTGTAGTGCCCGCGCTAATAAAAATCCCTACATGATAAGTGTTGTCAATCGGGTCACGAGCTGCCACTATGTCTCCACGCTGAGGGGCGTTTACGAGTGTCCAATTTTTCAGCGTACTTAAGGTACCCCACCCTCCCACGCCCTCCCCTATGGGGACCCCCTCCGAAACCTCTGGCATTTTGACGCCGGCTAAGTTACCAATGTCATAAACAAAATAATTGTTCTTGTTTGTGTTCCGTCCACTGCCGCTGTAAGCAGCATTCGACCAGTAGGCGCAGCCAACTTGTAGCTCTGCCCTTGCAGCAATGCCTTCTCTGATGGCGGGTACGTCAGGCTAAGAAGAAATACAGACCCACATGCGTCATTTTTCAAAATGTTTGTTAGTACCTATGCATTTAATTTATAACCAGTAGCAAGAAAATAATTGCCATCCAGATTGATTTTAAAATTGCAAAGTCTGAGGCTTTGTTCACACTATACGGGATAACTTTTCGTGCCGACACAAAAAGCTATCCGGTATTTTATGAACTTCTATCCGATATGTGACTCTCCACTTTAGATATCGGCGGGGCGCAGCTTCGCACCGTTACAGAAATCGCGCCGAAATCACTGTCCATTATGTGTAAACAAAAGCCACATCCTCTGACCTATGCGGTATGGTTTTCGTGCCGGCGAAAAAGGTATGCGGTACAATGTGAAAATAGCCTTAATCGCGCCATGTTTTATGGTCATTTATTTTAGTAGGGGCATACATAAGGGATTGGTTTGGAACTGAAATGATAGCAGCCGAGAAAACGTCGCCATTGTCACTAAGTTTCAGTCTTGGGCAGAATAACATGGAACAGCAAACTTCCTATCCCCCTGAAATCAATGAAGCCGAACAAAGAACAAAACGCGTTATTTTCGCATCCTTGATTGGGGGAGGGAGGGGGCGGGGTCTAAATTTTCAAGTTACTTCGTAGCCTCCGTGCAGACGACTCCTATTTCATTATTCCATTGCTGCACACACTTCGCAGCAATGGAACAGGAGTCGTCCGCACGCGATGGCTCAGAACGTACTCATAGATGGAAGACTTGACCGATCCTGATCCCCGCCTTTTAATCTCCTTTTAATAAAATTAAAAAGATAGATTTAGAGTTCGTCAAAGGTAGCCATCCGAGTTTCCTTTGAGAAACATCACCGCAAAAACAATGCTCGGGGTTCTGAACACAAAGGCATGTCTGTTTAACATCCATGAGTCCCCACTAAGCCGGAATCAAAGGAATGACGTACCTCAGCAACGATGTTGGATATAAGGCTAATTCCAAGAAAAAGTGACAAAATCGTCCGAGACTTCATAGCTGTCTTGATCCTGGGCTCTGGAAAAATAGGGAAATTGTGCATTGGTGAGTGAAATGGTAGAATGATAGTCTCTGTTGTGGAATACAGTCGAGCTTTCCTTAAGCGACCATTCGAAATACTAAGACTTTTTTGCATCGCTTACGGGAGTTGGTCGCTTACAAGAGACGGGCCACAGGGATGTTGCACTGGCGACAGGATCTGGCTCACCTGAGCTGCTTGTTCAAAAAGATTCTGTTGCAAGGAGTTTCTAAGTTTGAAAGGGAAGGGGAAGGGGATTTGAGGCTACTAAAGAAGTACGGGCCTCACTGATACCCTGAGTTTGGTATTACATACGGTAGACACAGGCGAGTGGGAATAAACCTGATAGCAAGTTCTATTGGGGTGTCGGGGGCGGGGACACCCCCTCCTAAACTAAAGCTACACAGCAAGGGATTTTACTAACATTTTTTGGGGGGCGGTAACTGTGCTTAAATCTCTCGAGACGCTTGCTTTAGATTTTCTATATATATGTCTGCAATTTTTCCCGGGAAATTTTAGTCGGCAGGAAGATAAATTTTTACCGACAAATGTATAGAAAATTTTGAAAAGGGGTTCTAGCACATGTAGCTGCATGTAACGCCCTCAATTTTTTTTCAGTAGAATCGTTAGAAGTGGAACTTTAGTTTACAATTCATATTCTTTTCAGAACAGCCGTTTTAGAGAAATTATTCCGACATTTGATTCTCATACAAACACTGTAATTTCTCATTCGGTTGCCTACTCGTCAAGATGGCTTCCAAAACCGGGATAAGGGCTGTGGAGGCTCGACAGGAAAACTACTGAGTCACCAGGAACTCACTGAGGTTATTCCGATTGAATTTTGGATTGCTGGCATTTGCTTGCGTCCGAAGCATGCATGCTTATTTATGTCTATTGAAGCTTGACTTCTGCAATCCGTTTAACAAATGTTCCCTAACTGCAGAAGCCGACGTAAAATCAAAGCTATCTTCTCCTCGGTATGCCATCATGATTTTAGCAGCAAACTAAAGCGATCGATAAGTTTTAAAAATTCCTATGCTTAGTCAATAATCAGTCGACTGTCGTTCATTAGAAATGCGGAAGCGTATACGTATGTGTGGTATGTAAACCACCCGGGGTTAAAACACTGCTTGCATGTAGTAAGGATTGTGTTCTCATTAATTCTTGTCCATATTCACCCCGCTTCACTGACAGAAACACTATCGACTTTTCAGTTTTCCCAAAACTTTATTCGCCAGTAGACATTCCCAAGTTATAATCTATTTCATTGTCGCGTGCCTTCGGCAAATCGAAAATGATTTTTGAGACTATTTAGCGGATTATCTTAGACACTCTTTCTTCACTATACTGTATTTGCCTTATGTAAAGTTAACTACAAGTTTTAAGATCGGGTATAATTTAGAACAGTTTTCGTTATAACGTCGGTTTAACCTTTTCACTGAGTCATCAACGGCCAAGTTTTAATGACAGTGAATGGTCGTCAGTACAATGAACAAACTTGAATAAATTACTTACCAAAACTCTGTCTTTTTCGGAACTAGAAAAAACCTTTACTGTACCCTGTGTGAAGAAAAACTTGAAGACCAGGGGAAGCAAGCTTAACAAAAAACATCCATACCTGTTTTATTTTTTGACTGCACGATTCACCTTGCTTGCGAAATTAGAGCAAACACAAACAGATCCAATATTTGGGTTTCTAATGTGCCCTTTCCCACGCTACAATAGGCAGGAGGGGGGTAACATGGAATAATTGAACCGTCGGGCAAAAGGAATTTTTGGATTGGAGTAATGGACTGCTAGCTATATGTTTTTGAAAGATCCGTATTGAAAAGAGTAGGTTGATCTCTTAGTTTAAAAACGACAGACAATTTTGGAAACAATGGTCTAAAGATCAGTTAGGGCACTATCAAGATGCTGTTGATTTTATGATAGAGCTGACTGAACATCAAGTGCAGTCAAACTTTCCAAATAGAATTTCTATGAAGCATCCGCTTTACAGGCTCAGGTGTCAGTACATAACTTAAAAGGGGGGGCTTGACTGTATTTAAGAAATAAGGAAAACAAACATCATTTCGAAAGAAACAAAGGACACATGACGCAGGTGATAAAGTCCGTGACAGAGATGTTTGTCAGCAAATAAGCTTTTTGAATGCTTAAGTTGGTGTTGTCAGAAGCATGGCTATTGCGCAGCTTTGCGCCATGGCGTTAATCCTAATACGTTACGTGCTGCTTTGCAATTTTGTGTGATTTGGTGATCAAGCCATCCGTAAATCATTCATAATACACGGTACAATGTACGTGAGCAGCAAATGCTAAACTGAACGACACGGCAGCTTGTTGAGTTAGTAAGCAAAAATCACAGAAATGTCAACATGGAGGAAGTTGTTTCTACAGTTAGTGACACTGGCTTTGCGTAAAAAGTAAAAGATATCACATTTAAATCATTGCGAAAATGCTATCTATCGATTGGTTCGGCTCAGCTCCTGTCTGTAGAATTCCCGGTGGGGAGGAAGTGGGGGTTACTCAAAAAAGGTTTATACAGGGAGGCTCCGACCCTAGGTCCAACCCCTTCTCTTTTTATATGCCGTTTTTGATAGAAAAGGTACCCCTTTCATATACCTTCTATTGAAAAATGGTACCCCTTTCACTTACCTAGTTGACAACTTTGCATCTCATTCAACTGCTTTAAATACGCTGTCTTTGACTGCAGTCCGGCAAAACCAGACCGTTTCTTCGACTTTTTTTACAGCCATATAGTGCATCGTTAGCCCTTTTGGGCCTTTTTACAGACCGAATATACCCTTTCATATACTTCAACTTGTAAAACCCCTACCTTTTTTTTCACCTGAAGCCTAAAAACAGTACCCCTTTCGGGTGGAGCCCCCCCGTATAGGTCATTATAGGGAGTACCCGCCCCTCCCTTGCGGGGGGTAGAACTCCGATTTCTTTTATCTGAGTCGCCTGTCAGTCACTACTCTTGACTTAAGAAATATGGAACTCTGATACAAAAAAAGGAACTGTTTGTCACATGGCAACTCGACTGTTACTCAACAATCGACAACAACCATGAGAAATGAATGTAAGAAATGAATCCTAAAGTTTCAATTCTTTCGTCGTTTCTCTTGAATTTATGGGCAGCCAGCTTCTTAAATTCGGTAGCGAATTCCTCTCGTATTTTTCTTGGGAGTCAAAAATTGCCTTGTCTTTTTAACTTTCCCGTATCCCGCGCCCGTCCAGAAAAATAGTGTGATTTTATTGGCTGCAACTTCGAATCACTAGCAAGTCAGGTTGGATTGCACAAACAGAAAAAAGATACTGTGTCAGCAAAGGAGGAAAAGTAAACTTACTGCGTATAGGAGGACAAAGTCAAGGCTGTGCTCTAACTTGCGGCGCGCGGTCGCCTGAGGCGACTAAGACTTGGCCTCGGGCGACTTAAAATATTGTCCAGGTCACCCAGCCGCGCGACATGCTTGTGTTGGTTTCTTGATTTAAAGTCAAAAAGCTAGAATTTATTCCTTACGATTTCGTAGCTTGCTCGGCCGCTTCGTGGCCTGAACAGAATGTTCCGCTCGCTAAGAAACTCTTGAGGTCAACGTGTATGTAGCGTGATTGTTTTTAAAAAAGGTATGTAAATCTATAAAGTCCTGAATTGTCGTGACAAGTCATTACGTATCAAGTACTAAATATAAATGCGCGAAAGCTAACTTTAGTGGTCAAAGTAGACCTAGCTGGCTACCGAATCCAAAAAAAGCTCATTTGTCCCGAACATTTCACCGATAATATTAAACGACTACTTTCCAACAAGATTATCTATTCAAAAGAGATAATAGTTTTGAGGCCGGGTTTTGAGGCGCCCGCGGTTTCCTTGACATGATTCATAACAGCTTTCCCAGAAAGCTCCACGGGAACTCAGTTATTTCTCTTAACCCTTTAAGTCCCAATAGTGACCAACAAAGAACTTTTCTCCTAACAATATCCATATGTTAAAAAGAGAAATGGTTATGAGAGTTAATAAAATGATCACTAAAGAGAAAATGCTTTGATCTGTTATTAAACACTCTTAACTAATTCTTTAAAGAAATGTATGAAGATCAGTATGGAGAATTTATATGTGGATATTGGGGATTAGTAAAAAGAATAGTGTCCTTATTTTTTACCCAAACTTTTTTATGAAAGTACATAAACTCACCACAATCTTACTCACGGTCCCCTCTTTCCCTCGTGTCCCCTTGTGTCCCCTTGTGTCCTTTTGTGTCCCCTTGTGTCCCTTGTGTCCCCTGTCTCTCCTTGTGTCCCCTGTGTTCCATGTGTCCCCTTGTTTCCCTTGTGTCTCCTGTGTCCCCTGTGTTTCTTTGTGTCCCTTGTGTCCCTCGTATCCCCTTGTGTCCCCTTGTGTCCCTTGTGTCCCCCTGTCCCCTTGTGTTTCCTGTGTCCCCTGTGTCCCTTGTGTCTCCTGTGTCCCCCGTATTCCTTTGTGTCCTTTGTGTCTCCCTGTGTCCCTTGTTTCCCTTGTGTCTCCTGTGTCCCTTGTGTCCCCTGTGTTCCCCTGTGTCCCTTGTTTCCCTTGTGTCCCTTGTGTCCCCTGTATCCCCTTGTGTCCTCTGTGTTCCCTGTGTCCCTTGTGTCCCCCGTGTCCCCTTGTGTCCTGTGTGTCCCCTGTTTCCCCTTGTGTCCCCTGTGTCTCTTGTGTCCCTTTAATTTGTGTCCCGTTGTGTCCCCCTGTGTCCCTTGTGTCCCCTTGTGTCCCCTGTATTCCCTGTGTCCCTTGTTCCTGCTTACATTGTGTGCCCTGTGTCCCTTGTGTCCCCCGTGTCCACTTGTGTCCTCTGTGTCCCCTAGTTTCCCTTGTGTCCCTTGTGTCCCCTGTCTCTCCTTGTGTCCCCTGTGTTCCATGTGTCCCCTTGTGTCTCCTGTGTCCCCTGTGTTTCTTTGTGTCCCTTGTGTCTCCTGTCTCTCCTTTGTCCCCTGTGTTCCATGCGTCCCCTTGTGCCCCTTGTGTCTCCAATGTCCCCTTTGTTCCCTTGTGTCCCTTGTGCCCCTTATGTCACACCTGTGTCCCTTGTGTTCCCCGTGTCCCCTTGTGTCCTCTGTGTCTCTTTGTGTCTTCCTGTGTCCCTTGTGTTTTCTTGTGTCCCTTGTGTCCCCTTGTGTCCTCTTATGTCCCCTTGTGTCCCTGGTTTTCCCTGTGTCCCCTTTTCCATTTACAAAAACATGAAATATTCGGCGGTGTTGCCCCTGTTTCTCAAATGGCGCGAAACCGTTGATGGGTTTTATTGGTTTCACATGACAACATGCGGTTTTTTTTTTTCGCACGCCCAGGAGTTCAAAGGATGTTATATTTCATGAAAATCAAAATCAAAACACAAAATTCTGCTTGACTTGTTTAGAAAATAATTTGTTTTTAATAATCAACTAACAGCTCACGGATTTATTAATTTAGGCCACCAACTTGGAGGCCCAGGCACCCCAGCTAAAATGTTTGGGATCCCGAAGGGCTCTCCGAAAGATTTATTTGTGTGACCATCTTTTAGGCCTTGGCACCGTAGGTAAAATACTTGGGAGCCCTTTCCGTTTCTCCTCACTCCGGCGGCGAAGAGCGAGGAGAAACGGATGTTTTCGCAAGCTAACTTATGTTTGAAATTGCTAAATCTGAATGATATCAAACTCGAGCCACTAAAATATAGCAAATAATAACCATAACCTCTAAACCTTTCGAAGGAATGATTAAATAACACAGTAATTGCAAACAAGGAACCGATTGACAATCTGAAGAAGATAAAAGACCCACTGCAATAATTCTTGCGGTTTTCAAACTCTGTTCGCCAGTTTTTCAAAGTTCAACCCTGTTGTTTGTAACTTAATATATAATGCTTGGGAGGCATATTTGTTTGCCAAGAAGTTGTGACTTTGTCATTTACAAGTTATTTCTTATAGCTAATGTTAGGTTCCATAGCGAGTACGGTTGATTGGGGGAATGGTAGCCTGCGTGTCATGACGGTTTCTGTTGGGCACGCTAAATAATAAAGGCGGGCGAGGGAGGAGAAACCGCAAGGAGATTGGGGCGGGAGCTTCGCCGCTCTTTCGCGCACGCTTCCGTTCAGTCGTTCTTCCAACAAAACCGCTATGCTACGCAGGCTAGGGGACTTTACTCATTCCTGATACATGTACAGCCCCTTGACCAGGTCTAAGCTTCTTTTGGCGCCGAAACAGTGTTAAATGTGTCCACAGGATTAGAGTAGTAGTACTAACCTACTACTAGGGGCAGTTAAGTTCTCCACAGTAACGCCAGATGACGATCTGATCTCCTTCATCGTTTCCGGTACCAAATGGCCATGTACCTTTAGCAATGTCTACTGAATTAGCTGACACCATTGTATCAGGGCTGACATAAATTCCTACATGGTAAATTCCACCACTGTCTAGGTAGTGAGCTGCAACGATGTCGCCACGCTCAGGTGAGTCCACGGCTACACGTTTCCAGTAATTCAGGGTACTCAAGGTACCCCAGCCTCCGTCCCCCGCCTCTATGGGGACCCCCTCCGAAACTTCTGGCATTTGGGCGCCGGCTAAGACACCAATGTCATGAACAAAATAGTTGTTCTTGTTTGTATTGGGTCCACTACCGCTGAGAGCAGCATTGGACCAGTAGGCGCAGCCAACTTGCAGCTCTGCTCTTGCGGCAATGCCTTCTCTGATGGCGGCTGAATCCTAAAGGAAATAAAAACACAAAGATCGACAAGTGACTGCCTTGTCACCATTCGCTCGCGATCCCTTTTTAAGGGAATATTTTAGTACATTATTAAGGAAAGCTGGGGTGAAAGGAATCCCCGCTCCCGCTCTGTGCTCGTTCCCATCATACCTCTCTCTTGCTCTTTCCCTTTCTTCAGCTCTCTCGCTTCTCGTTTGATTTGTTCTTCCCACTAAGCCTTGGGAACGACTGTGGAGGAGACATAGCTAGTGCTGTTTATCTCAGTATCATTCTTGTCCCCAGAACCTCCTGTTCCCTTAGCCGGCGATGCCTGAGCACGAGGACATGCCTCACCGGCTAAGGGAACAGGAGCATGTCTCAGTGTCTGACAGGAACCAAAAGTTTGCCTCATAAGAGTGGTAAACCCCTCCTTTATAAGCCCGGTCAAAATATAAGCCCTTCAATGAATGTAGTTAAACAGGCCTTTGCAAAGAAAAGTACAAAGGCCTGCGGGGCTTATCTTGAAAGTTTTGCGGTGGCTAACTACTGAGAGCTGGGTAATCCCTCCAGACCTCTCTTAAAATCTAAATTCAGAAAATGATACAATGGTCTTGAGAGAAATAACAATCAGCTTCCTCCTGTTTACCTCATATAATTCTGATAATGTGAAGAATATTCAAATGGACGAATATGCCTTGAAGGTACTCTCATTATCGTGGGCGACAAGAGGAGCCCGCAATCCTAATCTTCAGGTTGCTTTTACACATGCGCGGCACGTATGTAGACAACATTCGTCTGGACTTCCACTAAAAATAGGCTGATTTAGCAACAGGACGGGAAGGTCAGCTGACGACGAGAAAGCGCGCGGAAAGGACTAAACACGACTTCTGGTGCCCAATTTGCCGCTCTGCCATCGGTCAAGCCAGTTGTTTGATCTGCGCCCGCCGTCTTCAACTGACGTTCTCGTTCTGTTGCTAAATCAGCCTAGTATATGAAATACATGGGCGGCATCTGATCACGCCCGTTTTGACCTTCTCTCACGTGACACTTGCGTATAGCACGGAGTTGTCTCGCGTTGGAGCAAGCGCGTTTTGCTATTCTATTAACGTCGCCTTAGATTATTCTCTATTCTATAGCCAGCACTCCACAACCTTTGGTTATCAGTAACATAAGAAGAAAACAGCGATCTCGAGTCTTGACCTGAAGAGTGAAGGCCGAAAAAAAAAAATAAAATGACGGAAGCACAAATGAGTAAGCTAATTTTTTTTTTCTTTGAAAATTCTTTGCGGCGGCGGATCGTTAATTAAGGGAGTAACTTTAGGAGCCTGCGTAGCAGGTGCCGGTTTTGGAATGGCGAAAGGAGAGATTTAAATGACGCGCGCGAGTCCATAAAACAGGCCACAAAGCTATAACTAAGCAGCGCCTGTCATACAAGCTACCACTTTCGGTGCTTAAAAACAGACTTTAAAAAAACACCCAAAAGACGCGCTCAGTTCCCCGGCTCAGTTTTACCTTTCCCCTCCAAGGGCTGTAAAATTTAACGTACCCTTGACCTGTACATCATTGAAATTTAAGTGAAAATCAAAGAAAGTGCTAGCTTACCGCAGAGGCGCTAGGGATGTTGAAGATCAAATCCATTCCGATACGGAAAGACAAAAACAGCATCAGCATCTTGATTCTCTGCCTGTTCTGAGATGAAGCAATAAGTAAATTAGTAGATAATATGATGTACCTGGCCATGATAATAAAGTCGGCACCAAAACTCCAAATTCTTCACAGTGTTGTTGTCCTTCTCTTCGTTGCTGTTTGGGTGAATTTTCGTAGTTTTGAGATCGAGCAGGACTCTTAACGCCTTTCTTTTGATATAGGATTTAGGGAAATTTTTAGTTATTTTGTTTGCATTATAAACGGTTTTCTTTAAATATGAGAAAAACTATAAGATACGTAAGTAAATAAGTAGGTTGTGTATGATCGTCAGGGTGAACGTAGTCCTGAATAGGACTGTTGTTGTTGATAGTGACTGACGTTTCGACAACCTGTGGGGTTGTTATCTTTAGAGTCAAAGTGAGTTGTATCACGTCAGGTGATGGCATTAAAGTCTGGTTAGCTCAGTCACTGTCAACAACAGTCCGTTTCAGGACGACTTTGACACGGACGTTCATACTTAACCATCTGAGAGAGAATCTCATCCTCTCTTGACTCAACCTACTCATGAAATGACTCCTGGGTTCTGATCTTACACAGTCATACGAGTTAGTATAAGAAAGACAATGAACGCACCAGTGCAAGTTTTTGGCGTAATATTTGAGTACACTGTTTTCTTAGTCTTTGGCTACTTTCCTTTCTTGGTATTTGAAACAAAAGCACTGAGGTGTTTCCTTCTAAACATGCAGCGGTACAAGTTGCGTCGAAGTGCAAGCTGTCTACGTGTATACGGACAAAGAAGTAACAGCACACTCAGTTGAAACTAAACTTTTAAAAAAAAACTTTGTAAATTTAGGCCCGTTTCAGACACAGCACTAGTTACATGAGCCGAATCGAATTCAAGTTTAGGCTGACTCAAACGATCATTATTCCAGCCAAGCTAAATTCAAAAGAGAAAAATGCGCGTTTCGGTTAAGTACATCATAAAAATTTATGCTTTTGCATTGGCTCGATCGGCTCATGTGAAGTTAGGCGTGCGAATCACCGCCGTTCCACTCCCGGCTAAGCGGGGCATAAAGAACGGCTGTGCCGATCCAAATGCAATTAGCTGTTTTGCATGAATTGATTCAGCCGCCATACTTCAAATGAATTTAACTCATTCAATTCGATTCGGGTTATTTCAACCGGGCCTTACAGGAAACATCGCATGTCTTTACCATCGGCATTTCTGTACAGTTGAAGTCTGCGTTGCAGGTGCCGGCTTTTTTAGCGGCAAGGGAAAAAGTTTGAGAACGCACGCGCGCTCGCGCGCTCTTTTAAGAGATCTACAAATTAAACCTAACCAAAAAAACTGACTGCCGCTTGCCATGCCGGCGGTAAAGACTGGGTCACTGTTGCTGACAACTTCTGCTCTCGTATTGGAACAGTATCTTAGCTGTCGATAGTTGGTAAGAGTGAAAAAAAAAGTTACCTCAGCTAGAAGGGTGACCCTCATCCAATGTACCCTTTTTCGATGGTAGGGTCATCCTCCTAGCCGGGCCAACGTTTCTCCAAATAAACGTTTTGGCTCGCCCAGCTCGGCTCAGAGCATAAGCGAGCGCTGTTGTCAGCTCTTTGCTCGGGCAAAGGGGGCATCTTTTTTCTCATATAAAGTTGACTTGGCTGGGAGGGTGACCCTCCCATTCCGAGACAACTATCTGTACAATTCTTCATATAAACGGAGCATGCAAACGAATCCGGTCTAAAATTTTCCACTACCAGCACTTTATTAACCATTTTTGAAAATGAAAAAACGCATTAGTGTCTCAGAGGACGGCTTACACATTGTTAGCTTTTAATTGTTGTTTTTATAACAATGGAGATGTAAGGCACCGAAAAAATTATCATAATCTTCAGCTGTAAAGACAGCAAAGAAGGACGGAAGGTTGAAAAAAATTGTATCTTAGATCTGTTCTATAGGATCTTATGTGCACTTTTGTTAGCTCATACCTGTCATAACTTCTTAACAACAGCTTTTGATTTTCATTTAATTTGTTTTAATACAACAACCCATATGGATGCAAGCTTTTTCAGCTGTTTCGTTGCCCCTTTATGTCTGTTTAGTTTCTTTATTTATTTTTTCAGGATATTGGAAGACAGTTTCTTAGATACAATGAAAAGAAAAGCATGATGTTGTTTCCCGCATAAGCGCAAAAAAGACTTAAATTTCAGTTATGATTAATATCATTGTCCAGGAACACACATTGTCATGACAATATAGAACATCGCGTCCATGACTCTTGCCTCTTTCTATCCAAACAACGAAGCAAAAACTCTTACTCAGTGATAAAAACCTAAGTTTCCCAACCGACAGGTTCGTTTGCTTGTTTTTTTCGTACACAGGCCAACCGATGAACAACGAGATCCGCTAATTAAAATACCGAAATTAGTCAAAGGGACTTTATTCTATAGAGCTATGTGATTGTGACCAATGCAGAATAAATCTACCTGTTTAGCTCACAAATTTAATCTTCTGAAGTTAAACGCGAATAGTAAAGTAAAACCTGAAGAATCTGGGTGCAATTTTTGCACAACTTTTTTCGAAGGTGGCGGACGGGAGGCAATTCGAACGTTGTGCCTTGTGGTTTGTATAGTCGTATGGATTGCATTGATCGTTCTAAAAGTTTTTCGGACCATTAGCACAATATTAGACGATCAGGGCAATTATACGAAAACTTACCTATTCATTCATGAGACTTCAGATCTAACTAGAATGTGCGAACGCAAGGCAATCGCCCGGATCACCCCGCTTTGAATCGCAAGTGTTTTCTTTAGGGTGGTAATCTCAAAAGTTGTCTTGATCACTTGAACAAACTTTGAGGGACTCTTGCAATCGAGACAACCCGATTCATTATGAATAAGCCAGGCTACACTCAAGCTAACCACTTAATACGTGGGCCCATGTTCCAGCGATCGCAACTTTGTCTTAAGAAACGTATAGTTGAATATATTTTATTTTTAAACTCTGCTCGTTATAATTATGTTTAACCTTAAACAGTATCTATGGAAATTGATTGATTATTTTGCAAGTACCTGCCAAACAGGTACTATGCCAAAACGGACAAAATGTTTGCTAGCAAACAGGTGCTCCTGAAAACTGTACACATATAGGGCACGAAGCAAATACAACTAGAATGATTCTTTTTTTCACATTCTTTATAGAAGAAGTTTATACTACATCGTAATTTACGGATTAGCCGAGGTTATTCTTTTACATACAGTTCCGACCCCAGTAAACATTCGTTAATCGTTTAATCTGGTCCAAGCATCGCACTGCACCTTGAAAGCCAGATTTCTACTCAGCCGTAAGACGACAGACTAAATGATTCAGGTCTTACCTGACTTGTGATCTCTTGCAGGGTTTGAACTTGCGCACAAACCACTTCAAAAAGCTGCAAAATGGAATTTCAGTCCTTCGCGAGGCTTAGTGATAAAAAGCGCTTATTTAAGTAGCCTCGTTTCGAGGTTTTTATGAGGGACTTACGTACTTATTTGGTGGGTATCCTGTTTCGTGGCTTTCCTTTCCTGTGAACAACACGAACCAAGCCTTCAACATGTTCCAACAATTAACATTGAAAACATGGCTGATCGGACAACTAAGGGTTGGTAATTTATTTGCCCAATATTTCGACTACACAAAACTAGTCTTAATCAGGGACTAGAAAAGCTTTCTTATGGTGGCCCACGACTGTCACGGTAAAACCAAAAACCTCACGGCAAAACCAATACTTCACAGCAAAAGCAAAATAGCTTTGGTTTTGCCATGGGTATTTGCTTTTGCCGTTGGGTATTTGGTTTTTGCTGTGAAGTATTTGGTTTTGCCGTGAGGTATTTTGATTTTGTCGTGAGATATTTTGATTTTGTCGTGAGGTATTTTGGTTTTGCCGTGAGGTATTTTGATTTTGCCGTGAGGTATTTTGACTTTGTCGTGAGGTATTTTGGTTTTGCCGTGAGGTTTTCGGTTTTGCCGTGAGGTTTTTGGTTTTGCCGTGACAGTTGTGGGCCACTGTACTTTCTACCCCCTGGTAAAAACCTAGTTTTGTCTAGTCGAAATATTGGGCAAATAAATTACCAACCCTTAGCTGTCCGATCAGCCTTGCCTTCAATTTTAAGTGTTATTCTATATTGCCGATCCTGATCTACAACAAGATCCGGCCTTCCATCGCTGCTGTTTGTCCAAGTAGGTCTTGCAAGAATTGTAGGCTAAGATGTTCAAACCTCTGAGGTCACTGTTGTTTTAGATTTAGTTCAAATCAGCTGGGAGCGGGGGAGTGCTCCTGGTCCAAATAAATGAGTTTCTTTTAATTACTTTCTACGTCAGTGCTTCTTATTCAAGAAAAGTGTCCATGACAAGTGGCGCGGACAAGTCTGCAGCTACTTGTGAATGGCAATTCTCTCTGGATTTTTTTAAAAATTTGTCTCGTTTGGCCGCATCAGTGCAGAGTATTACAATAAATAAAGCCAAATAGAAGGAAAAACTATAAAATGCTAGTATCTTTAAAATATGGCACTGCAATGTAATTCAATAACTACGATAATCATTAGGTAACAAACAACCAAGGAAAACAAACGTCTGATAAAATGACAACAGTTGAAACTATTAATCTAAATATGAAAATCATGGAAACGTTGAAGGGTAAATACTTCCCGGAAGGCTAAAATAAGTCATTGTTGGGCCGGGAAACCCTTGCAACCCTACAAAGCCTACGATAAAATTAGCCCAAGTTAGGGTTTGATTATAACTTGAAAAGTCCGATTTTAGGTGGGATCCAAGCCTCTCTCTTCAGTCAGCTCCAAGCTGAATGAATAGTCAGCATTTCTGTTAGGGACCGGTCATTATTTATCGGGGGGGCGCAAACAAGGTGACATTTAGCCGATCCCCCCTTTGAATGTTACTTCACTGAAGTGATCCCCCCTAATACCTTTTGATGACTTTCGCTATCCCCCACCCATGTCTTCATTTTCCAAGCAAATTTGAGTGGTCCCCC